GCAAAGCTAGTGTGTGGATGTTATCTTCTTAGGGGAGGTTTGATGTGCGCTCTTTCTATAGGGTCCTCTCAGATATACCGAGGCTTGCTTTTCCATAAAAAGCCATTTGGCGTATGAAGGCACCTCTTAAGGTGGCGGCCTTTTTTGCTTGGACAACTGTTATAGGGGGGATTCTGACTTTGGATAACCTAAGAAGGACGAGACATATTATTGTGAATTGGTGTCCCAAGTGCAAGAGGAATGAAGACTCGGTTGATCATCTTTTATTGCACTAGCATGTGGCTAGGTGTAACGGGCAGGGTGCTTCGTTATCCGACATAAAAACTTAAGCTATTAATTGGGGCTAACACCTAACACATATATATATCCTTTTATTTTCCAGCCGGATCCCATATGGGGACAAGAATCCCTTGTAACATTCTCCTTCACCCGAACTCGCAACGTTCTCATTGCGATCAAGCACCCTGCCTACTCGGGTGGGCTGACCGGGACACCTTTGGGTCGGACACTTGGCGCGACACCTGACCAGGACTGGTCTAGCTCTAATACTAACTGTAACGAGTTAGGTGTTTCGCAATTTGATCCAAAAACTATAGCTGTTAGGTGGATCTAATACCTAACCCATATATATATATATATATATATATATACCCATTTATTTCCCATCCGGATCCGATGTGGGACAAGACTTCCCATGTAACACTAGAGATAGTTGGGACATCCGGATCCGATGTGGGACAAGACTTTCCATGTAACACTAGAGATAGTTGGGATTGATCTTGATTTTGTTCGAGTTCAGTGGGTTATGCCTCAAATCCCACACAATTGAGGCTTGGAGGGGTGACTAGTAGGTCCACAAGCCCGTGATTTTTGGAGAGTAGCGCCCTTGTGCATTTGGTGGTGCTCATGGAAGGAAAGGAATATGAGATTTTTTTATGGGAAAGAGACTCCTATTGGGAACTAAAATTCAGTGTCATTTGTTCTCATTTTTTTTTTTTTTGGTTGGGTTTCTCAGAAAAATTGTAAATCGATGGGGGGTAGTTGATTTTTTGACAATTTGAGAGTATAGGGGTCCTATTTGATCCCTCCTTGTTTTTCTAGGCTGTGTTCTCCTTTCGAACGCTCTTTAATACATTCTTACTTATCAATATATATATATATATATATATATATTCCCTATCAAGAAGATCTATCATACGTAATCCTTATCATGATAGATGTTAGAGAAAATTATTATAGAAACATTAAATTACTTCACAAAATATTATTATAGCAATCCTCCACGTAATAGGGCCAGATAGGTGTTTCACTGAAAGAAAGGGCTTTGTCCAGACCCACTTCTTTTAGTCTACTACAAAACATGTCAGCTTACAAAATTCTCTCTCCATTTAGGTAATTCTGATCAGTTAATTTGAATTACAAAATCACAAATGATGTGGGGGTTTCTTCGCATTTAAGGTAGGAAGCTCTCTACCCTCTCTTTTCATATTATTTAAGACGTCTTATATTGTTTGAAATTCTCAAAGATTCTTTGTTATATCGAACTATTAAAAAGTGCTTTGTGACAAATGAATTGATTATGATTTTGTTTACATTATGATAAATAGATTTGTGTGGTGTACACGATGATAAAAGTGATATTTTTGTTGAATGAGACATATTGATTATAGTTGGATTTGAATGGTGGAGCCTAGTGTGATGTAACATCGAGAGAGTCAAATGTCCACCACCTCTAGAGGCATACAGAGTCTTTGTGAGGTGCGCAGCATTGCAACTAACTTGGGTTTGGAACACTGGAAGTGTGTTGCACTGCATGGTGACATACGTTCTCATTGACATTAAAAATTGGTATTACGGTTTCATCTATTATTGATTTATTGCATATTTGACAATTTTGCTGTCAAAAACACATACTAGGCAATTATGTTCAAAAAATGTTATTGATACCCATTGAATTTCTTTAATGAAAAACTCGATGCCACGACATATGCTTTTGTAATATGTTTTTTTTTTTTTTTTTTTTGTTGTCCAACTAGGCTGTCTAGCTTACTCCTAATATATTTCAGGTTACGGACTGACAGAGTTTGGAAGAACGAAAGAACCAAATTTGGTACGAAAATTGTGGATCTTTGTTGTTAGGAGTTCAATTATAGGTTTGAAGATTTTTGCTGTAAGTTTAGGGGTAGATTCCAGTAGCCTCCCCTCTAGTTTAACAAACCTATACTCGGCACCTCTTAGTTTTGAAAATTTTACTCCAACCATCCCTAACATTAGTGTTTTGGATCACTTTTCACTGACTTAGAAAAATGGTAATATGGCTCCATCTATTATTGATTTATTGCATATTCGACACTTGTGTCGTCGAAAATGCAAATTTGGCAGTGTGATATGTTTAAAAAATGTTTTTGATACCCATTGAACTTCTTTAATGAAAAATTTGGTGTCATGACTTTTTTACTGAAAGTCATGTATGCTTTTGTAACATGTTTATGATGAATTGCCTTTTTTTCAACTAGGTTGTCTAGTGTCTAGCTCACTCCTAATATATTTCAGATTATGGACTAACAGAGTTTGGAAAAACGAAGAAACCTAATATGGTACGAAAATTGTACATTTTTTTGTTAGGAGTTGAATCATAGGTTTGGAGATTTTGTTGTAAATTTATGGGTAGATTACACTGGCCTCCCCTTGAGTTTAACAAACCTATACTCGGCAGCCCATAATTTTGAAAATTTACTCTAACCATTCCTATTGTTTGTGTTTTGGATCTCTTTTCCCCTTGAACTAATATATTCCCAAATTTACACTTCAAACATATGAAAAAGATTATAGTGTCCTCTGACAGTATTGTGAAATCACATTTTTATCCCTATTACAGGAATAACAAAAAGATAAGATTGCCCTGAACGTCAATTACTTATTAAATCAAATCTCATTTACCTGTTAAATACCTATATACATGTAGTCATATCTAACATAAGTACCAAACCAGAAAAAACGATAAACACTAATAAATAAATGAAGTTAAACACCAAACCAAACATGTATGTAACTAGTAAACCAGATTAGAATCTCACCCCTAAATTAAAAGCCCATTAATGGCACCTATTATGCCAAACCCTAACAAACATTTACATGCATACAAAAAAAACTTATAGACCTGAGAAACTCAAGTATTTGGGATCACTACTCCTCAAGAGCATCTTCTGGACTTGAAAAATTCAAAAAAAAAAAAAAATTTAAAATTGAAAGAAACTTTTGATTTTAAGCTAAGCATAACTCAAGTATAGAAAAATTACAACCTACTAATAATTTAAGAGTATTTCTCTGGATCAATGAGTTTTAAGAACTAAAAGTTTCATCAAATTTTATATGATGGACAGCAAAGGGTGAAGGTTTTCACTTTTCAGTGATCAGCATTACACCGTGGGAAAGAGTGTGCACATCAGAGACTGATATATATATAAATATATATATATATGGATATACGAGTATCCCTCCACCTCTGGAAACATTACCCTTTAGGATTAGGAATACAATATATGGTAAATGTGTTATATGCAATATGGGTTTGTATATGTATTATGAATATTTAACTTGTATATATTAAATATGTGCATTAATGTAAAATCTTTTGCATATATAAAGATATGTACAAACATTATTTGTAGTAGTGTTCTTTTGTCTGAAAACACCACCATCACTGGTTCCATCTCCACCATTACTAATTAACCCTATACGATCTATAGATAAAGGAAAGAGAAATTGGAAAGGAGGTAGGCATGTTTGGGGTTACAAATGTTTGCGTGTGCATGTATAAATGCACACACACACACACACACACACACATATATATATATATATGTGCATATGTATCAGCGTATAAGTATTAAGTTGTTTAGGATTTTAGAGAGAATGATGTGAGAAAGCAAATGATACACGAGGAATATTGGATTTTTTAATATGCCTATTTTAGTATTTTTATATTTCATTGACTTTTCAAATAAAATAGTATTAAGAAAAAAGGGCACAAAGGAAATTTATAAAATCTGTTAAGGGACAGGAAGGTCAAGAGTAATTTTTGAAAACTAAGGGGGTGAGTAGATTTGTAAAAATGGAGGAGAGGTCAGTGCATTTTTCACTGATTTTAATTTTAGAGAAAATATCACCTATCATTCGATAAACTTGTGACGGTAGAACCGTGGAATGATAAAGTTTGATTCAATATTGTGGATGCTGAATGACACTTTCAATGAGGACTACCGGAATAATGCAATTAAATTTTGTTTTACTTGATTTGTACAAGGCTAAAAAGGTTTAACTAGAATAATCATTTTAAAATGTGGGCACTTCTTGTTGCGGCAGCGAACACGTGTCTGGCCATGTCCCCGCTCTGTCGTATCTGACACCGCCATGGCACCTCTGACAAAGTGTCCGTGCTTCCTAGGATTTTGTCAACTAGAGTTCGGGGTGACAGGGCTTCAAAAAGGTTATTGTTGAAAGGGATGTTGTGGGATTGACCAAGGCGGGTTCAGGAAAAATGAGAGGTCTAAGCTTAGATTAATCTTGTAGTTTAGCAATGAAACATTTGGCAAGATTTCCTTGACTCCTAGTTTTCAATGGAAAACTGAAATCAATACAGACAATGATATATCTTTATTGAGGGAATGGAAAATTGAAATCAATACAGACAATGATATATCTCTATTTATGAGTAGAAGCACATCAAGTATACAATATTAAGTGTGACCAAAAGGTAAGCGTGCCAGTATGTGTGTGCACATAGAATGTAGGAAAAGGGAGAACACACCTCACCTCTGAGCGGATCATAAACACAATGGATATGGCTAGCTTGCTACCGTACATTACTTTGGGCATCGCAAATCCAAACCGGCGATGGTACCAGCAGAGAATGTGGTTCAGTGCACTTCCAATCACGTGTACTATAATAAGTGATGGAGTTATCTTCTAAGTGGAAGACGCCATTATCATGACCTGTATTACACATGAGAGCCAATTCTCCCCCTGAGCTCTGGATAATCACGTGTTGAAAGAGAGAACGAATGATTATAACCCACAAATAATGAGCGATCATCTAAGCATTCTACATGTTCCCACTTATTCAGCTTAAAATTCAACTTATGAACAACAAATCTCAAGGTCCTGTGAAACTTTGGCGAGCTATAGGAATCGTTTTCTTTTCCCCCCGGAACAAACTCTGTATTAAAAATCCTGAAAACCAGTAGAAGATCCCCCGAGGATTCCACCAAATATTTCACAAAAGAAACTTGCCAATAATTAAAAGACTTATAGTAATCTATCATTTCGGGGATCGTCCGTGGACTAGAGAAGGTGGGGTCAATGAGTTGATGTTTAGGACAGGAATGATCAGTGAGATCCCAAGCTTCGAGTTGATGATATTCGTACTGGTTTCCCGAGGCATAAAAACGTCCATCTTTGCTGAAATATATAAGGTCACAACAGTAGTGGCAATTGCCTTCGCTCAAGAGAGTCCATCTCTCATCCACCCCGAGTTTACAGAAATATAAATACCCACCATAGTTCATCACCGCCGTCGTGGTGGTGGTGCATTGATCATTATCAAGAGATGATGATGGCGATGATGACAAAACAACATCTCGTATGGAATGAAGAGCTACTGTTTCGGAGGGGGGTGATTTGTGCTCGTTCGTTTGGTCAAAGGTCATAAGGAAGTCTCTGACTAGAGAAGTGGAGGGGGAGAGGTTAGAGAAGTGGAGGGGGAGAGGTTATCTGATTTCACGCATACCCTTCACCGTTGGTAGGGTTTCCAAAGAAGGTAGGGGTATGTATGGGAGATGATTATGATTATGAAGAGAAGAAAAGTTTTGGTGCTCGATGAAGGGATTTAATAGATAGAGGTAGCCATTGCGAGGGTCGAGAAAGACGAGCCAGCCATGAGTGGAGCCAATACAGGCGGCGTTGTCTGGTGTGAGGTACTCTCTTTGCCACGCTAGCCCTAGATTTTTCCTCACTCGGTATTTCTTCTGGTCAGCAACCCTGAAGAAGCGAAAATAATCATTGTAGTCATCATCATATTCCTCCTCTGTTTTACTGAAGGGTGGTACAATCATCAACGGTGACGACAACAGTGATCCAAACTTTTCTTCATCAACTGTAGTTGTTGCTGTTGCTGCCTGAGGAGGAGGGCAAAATATTTTACGATTACATAATTTACATTATAGAACTAGATCTCGGAGAAGGTGGCTCGATTCCTTGAAGAGGAGGAGGACGACGAGGACAAAACTCACTAAACAATCGGACGGAAGAGAGAAAACCACCACCACCACCACTACCCAAGGTTCTGTAAAATGTGGCCGGATTCAGCGCAGGTAGGTGACGATACATCATCCGATCGGCTAAAGGGGGCAATTAGCTGCCGTCGGCTCTGCTGCTTGTTACTCTCTCCTTGTCTTTTGATACACCACTTTGTGTTTGCCTAATGCTGCGCACACTTGCCCTAGAATCGCTATGAATTTTTTTTTTTTGTTAAAATAGAATCGCTATGAATTTATTTTAGGGTAAAATCACATAATCCACCCTCTGACTAAAATCCACATTTTTTACTGAATCCACTAAGTGAAGTGAATTGACATATTTAATCTTATTATGTTATGTAGGTGTCCCACTAAAATTTTCTTTTCACGTGATAAATCGGCGTTCAATTACCATTTTTCAATAAACATAGATAGGTCATAGTCCAGCCGGGCCTGGGCGGCCAGGCCTCAGAAGAGCGTCGTGCATGTGTGGGTAAATAATAGGGAGTAAAAAGATGTCTTCCTACACAGAAGAAGTTGCAGCAACAGTGACGCAGTCAGAATTTTAAGTGAAGGGGACACAATAATAATACGGAGTATATATATATATATATAACAACTATAAAATTTAAAAAGATAAAAAAGAAGAAAATTATTAAAATATAAAAGGAAAATAAAAATGAAAAAACTTTAATAAGAAATAGTTAAAAAGTTTCAATTGAGGAAGAAAAATTTGACTTTTTTTATTAAGGAAATTTAAGGAATGTGAAGGGTAAAAGAGAAAATAAAGAAAAAATAAGAATATAATTTTAAGAATTATAAATTTGAGGGGGGCACTATATAAATTTTGTCATATATATGGAAATTTTTTTTTAAATTACCACATATATTATAGGTTGCTGGCCAATTCAGGGGGCAGGTGCCCCCCTAGGCCTTCATTGGCTCCGTCCCTGGCGACAGATGCCAGATCTGCGGTAGCTTTAACTTTCCACCGATTACGGCGATATCGACAACAACCAAATATGTAAGGGCAACTGTGGAGGGAAAAAATCCTCTCCAATAAGATTACTCCATGTCATCACGGTCACAAATCTATCTTCCAAAAGACCCATCATGCTCAAACCCAAAGTGAATGTACTCTTAGCCCAGGATCACTGTTATTTGCCCTTTTACCTTTATCCGGGCCAAATCAAGAAAGTGTTAGCCCGATCTACTCATATTAAACATCCGGCCCATTAGTCAAGCCCAGCCAATTAATGCTCTAGCCAGCCCAGTTATTCAAGAATGAACGAATCCTGTTTGGTGAAGGATTTACCATAAAAGGAGAACTCTGCAATAGAAAGTTCTACACAAAGTAAGTTCTGTGGATGGAAAATTAAACAATGGAAAGAACTTTAATTGTAAAGAATGTCTACATAGAAAGAATTGGAGGACAAGTAATGCGAGTCCTACCATAACTCTACTACTTTTATGTATAAATAGAGGCCAAGACCTCCAATAAAAGCGATCGAAACATACAAGCAATTCTACGCTTCTCTATAGATTGTTTTTGCTTATTTTTATTATTTGTTGAGTGCGTTGTTTTATTTCTCTTAATCATTATTGGTTGGGCGAAAATTTGCACCTACACTTTGTCGCCGTCTGTGGAAAATGTATGCAAATATATTCCCACTTTTGTTTCAAGTGAATTTTGCTACTACCATCTGGAATGTCGAACGGAGGATGTTCAGTGGATCAACAGACGGAGTTGATGCAGAAAATGCGTGAAGAGTTTCTACACCAGTTTGAAGTACTTCGTCAAGCAAACGAAGCTAGCGTGGCTCAGATCGCCTTGCTTCAACAGCAAAATAACACTTTTCAAACTGCGATGGCTCAGTTGACACCACCACCACCACCAGGTGATACGGCAGCACCACCCCCTAATTAAAATATTCCTCTAGTTAACGGGCCTCAACCTAATGGGGCACGACCCAATAAGGCTCAGCCAAACGAGGTTCAGCAACAGCAGAGGAGGAGGACCGAGGCAGTTGCTTTGGACAGCTTCCCTCGTCGCACGTAGGACGAGCAAGCCGAGTCTAGCCGTAAGCTTACGGTATGGTCCAATGGTATTCCAGATGGCGCTGGTGTACAGGATGTCTTTGATGAGAAAAGACTCCTAAAGATTCAGATACCCGCTGAGATGGCCAGAGAGCACAAAAACTCCCTGGTGAAGACTCCTTTCACTGACGATGTGTATATGGTTGAGAGGCCCAAGAAATTTACCATGCCTTCTTTTACTCAGTTTGACGATACAGGAGATCCTTCTCGGCACCTGGATCATTATGTCCAAAAGATGGCTTTGGACGACCGTAATAATCCTTGGATGTGCATAGTTTTTCCTACTAGTTTGACAGGAGCTGCACTAGAGTGGTTTAGGAATAGGCCACATAAGTCAATCCCAGATTACGTAACTCTGTGCACCTTGTTCCTAGCATAATACTGTGGAAATAAGAAGCAAAAGAAGAGTATTGCTAGCCTCTTCACAGTAAGGCAAAAGAAAGGGGAAACGTTGCAGGATTTCTTATCCAGATTCAACATGGAAGCCTCGGAAATAACAGATTGTCATCCCGCGACTGCTATAGAAACATTCAAACTTGCAATGATTCAGGGGACGAAGTTTCATATTTCCTTGGTCAAATATTCTCCTCCCGACATGCAAACTCTCAATGCCAGGGCCCAGATCTACATTCGGCTCGAAGAGAATGTAGCCCACCAAGCGCAGCATGCCACCCTCGTGACAGTAGAGAACAAGCCTCGGGAAAGAACTTCAAATTCAAAAATCCAGAAAAGCCAGCGCACCTCAGCGCTAATCACCTAGGCACCTGAGAAGAGGCGAAGGATAGAGGAAGGGTTTACACCTCTCCGAACTACCTTGGCTCGGCTCTTCCAAGAGAATAAGATGAGGTTCACAGCCCCGCAGCCAATGAAGCAACCCTTGGAACAGAGGGACAAAAGTAAGCATTGCGTTTATCATCGAGATTATGGGCATTCAACCAATGATTGCAGATCCCTTAGGCGACAAGTGGAGAACATGATAGCTAGAGGTGAGTTAGCAGATTATCTCACAACAAAGGAGTATGTGAAGCCCCGCAAAGTTTACCCTCGCAAGGTAGAGGGTAATCAAGTAAAAGTCATTCATGCAATATATGGTAAATCTGAAAATGATCAAGAGTCTGAGGAGGTATATAGATCCAGATTCAGGTTGAAAGCATATCTAATTGAATTATGGCTGGAAATCCTGCTAGAGCTAAAGGTGGATAATGTGATACCCCCAGATTTCCGAATATGGGTTTGCCAGGCCCACGCCGAATACCCGAGAATATCAAAACAAATTGATAATAAACGAACACAGAGTACAAAAGAATAAAGAAGAATAAATAAAATGCTGACAAGAAACTAAAATGATAATCTAATAATAAACCTCATAATATATTTCCATTAATTAATAAACTCTTCTGATACAACTGATCCTCCAAAATATAACTCGGGAATCCATACTGTGTGGACCCCTAGAAAATCCAAACTAAACAAATGACAGTAGTAATCTAAAACAGGAAACTGAATCATAAAGGAACTCCTATGTAGCATCGGAAGAATGAAGTAGACTGATCCCCGCTCAGCACGAACAACCTCTACTCGTGACGAACACCTAAAAAATAATGATGGGTTAGGCCCACAAACAAGTTCTACTCTACTACAGTCCAAGCAGAGATCCGATACACGTATACATCCTAGTCAATCCAACAGTAACTAGTAGTCTGTATATAAATATACACACACACTAAAGGAACCTCACTAGACTATAGGGTTGTCTCAACCTGAATAGTAGGTAACATGCAAAACGCACATATAGTGGGCATGAGTACCTAGACCTACCAGGGTACACAACTACACTATATCTAGCTACACATCCCTAGCGATATACGCGCCCTAACCATTGATCCTGAGTCTTAAGCTCATATCATGACACCATACTTATATATATAAAATCTAGTAACCATCCTATACAGTATAAATTAATCCTCCATAAGTCATTCAACTTGTTCAGCTGACCTGACTTGAATATAAGTAGGACTTAACATTTTAGTTAATCCATTCCCTTATATAATAAATTAATCATCCATAAGTCATTCAACTTGTTCAGCTGACCTGACTTAAATATAAGTAGGACTTAACATTTTAGTTAATCCATTCCCTTATATAAAATAGGTAGGACTTAACTAATAAGTTAATCCATCCCTAGAATGTCACAGTCCCATACCGGTGCATTAAACCACACAATCCAACAATTGAGGTAACAATTAAGGAAATACATCAAACATTCCATAAATAACTATGATAAATATGATATCAAGTTATCACATAATATGAAT